CTTGCTTAAAATACAGTTCCTTCTTTTTCTGTGTACTTTTGCTAAATCACAGAAATTCCAGTTTAAGTGTCTGAATGTGTTGATCTTTTATGATTTCCTTTGGTGCTTAAAATCTAAGAAGTTATTCTTGAACAGTTATAGTATGTCGTGTGTTCAGAAAAATTCTCTAAAGAAAATTTAAATTTTTATTGCTAAAATTAGTGAACTGAAGATAATTTTCCTTAAGAGCCATTTTAAAATAGCTTTAAATGGAGTAAAAAATATTTAACAGATAAACACTTCAAATGTTGAACAGTGGAACCTGGATGTTGAAATAACTGATATTTTTTGTACCTTAGCTTATTTTTAAAATTTTTAAATTTATTTATTTTCATTTTGTTTGAAAGAGAGGCAGACAGAGAAGGAAAGATTGTCTCCACTGGTTCATTTTCCAAATATGTGCAATAGCTAGCATTTGGCCAGGCCAAAGCCAGGAGCCAGAACCTCCATCCGGATCTTCCATGTGGGTGACAGGAAGCCAGATATTTGGGCCGTCATCTGCTGCTTCCCAGGGGCATTAGCAAGAAGCTGGACTGGAAGTAGAAGTGCTAGGACTTGAACCAGACGCTTTGGTATGGGGTACAGAATTTGCAAGTAGTGAGTGACTTAAGCCGATGGACCAAATGTCTGCCCCATACCTCAGTTTGAAACACTCTCGAACTGCAACTTAATTAAGTTGCTCAAAGTCTTGTAGACCTATACTCAAACAAACCGATACTCAAATTAGACAAACTGATAAGACAGAGTCCAAAAAAAGCAGCACACAAAAGAAAAAAGCCTCCTCTTTGCATGTTAAATTAGCTTGATAACCTTAGGCATAGTTACTTTTTCAGATACAAAAGAAAGTTTCATAAAATAGGAAATCTTGATCCTGAAGTTGACTTAGAGTCTGAAACAAGTGATAAAGATTCAACCAACAACTTAATTCTTTCCCCTTTGAGTGAAGGATCATTTCTTTGTCTCGAGTAGTATAGTCTGAGGCAATATAAGAATTGGCACATTTTATTCTCTTGGCTGCCAAATTGTAGTCTTTCTCTTGAACCACTGATGTAACATGGAAGGAACTTAATGGATTTTGAATAGAGAAATGGGATAAACTTGTAAGCCTCTATGGGAGACAGTTCCTCAGAGTAGAAATCAAGAGGGTAAAGGTAACTCCTTCTGGTAGATGAGGTAGATGGAAAGGATCACCAGTGCACCGCTGGCAACTGTATTCTAAATTCAGCCTGATAATAGCAGACTGTTTTTTAAAGTATTATTTGTACCTAAGATGTAATCATTTTTGCCCCCCCCACACTCAAAACAAAGTTGTCACCAGCAATCTAACATGTATATTTTTGTCATTGTAGAAAGAGGAACTAATCCCAAGAAAGGATATATTTTGTATATACCACAGTCAAATTATGGGGTCAAGTTTTTCACTGGAGATTTTAATTAGGTTGCATTATTCTTTATATGTAGCAGTATTCATCATGTTGTTTATAAGTGAAAAAAATGAAAATTACCTAAATATAGAGTGTCAGATAAAAGCTCGTCCTCTGCTCTGTGTTGCCAGTGTGGGATACCTGTGCCACAATGCCAGCCCCCAGTGTCCTGGGCCTCTGCCATCTGGGATTTGCTCCTCCTGGCTTCAGCCTGCCGCAGCTCTGGCTGTTTGGGGCATTTGGGGTGAACCAGCAGATGGAAGATCTTTGCCTATCTCTCTTAAATAAAATTGTTTAAAAATTAAAAAACAAACCCTGAAGTTAAAAAAGAGAAAAAGTAAGCCTTGAGGAGATCACACTGTCCAAGTGGCTTGACTCATGCTGAAGTGAAGTCCAACAAAATATAAAGAAGCGCAACAAAATCCAGCTGATGTGAGTGTAGCATTTACAGCGCCGGATCGCAGTAACAGTCTTTCAAACATGCAGAAAGGTAGGAAAAGATGCCCCGGTAGAACAGCTTGTTAATGGAAGCAGAGCACAGATGATACAGATGATGAAATACCAGACACGGACAGGAAGACACCTGTTATAAATATCTTCAGAAAGTAGGGGGAAATGGAACACAGTGTAGAAAGCAATCAAAAAGACCCAAATGGAACTTCTAGAGATGGTAAAATATGGTATGTGGAGTGAAAATACACTAGTTGGATTAACATGTTAGACATTGCAAAAGAAAAGAATGTGAAAGTTTAGTAAGTGAAACTAATAAAAATTAAGCACTGAGCAAAAATGAATAGAACTTAGTAAACTATGGGGAAAATCATGTAATTGGAGTCCTAAAAAAGGAGAAACGAAGATTAATTTTTTTAAAATGGCTCAAATTGTAAATATTTGGTGAAAACTATAAACCAGAGTTTTTCTTTTTTAAAAAATGATTTGCGTGGTTGCCACCATGAACTTCTTTCAGTATTCTAGACAAATTAATTACTTTTCTATTACCTTTTCTCTTTTGTCAAAGTATTTATTTATTTATTTATTTTAAAGTCAGGGTGCCAGACACAGAGAAAGAAGGAAATATCTTCTATCCACTGCTTCATCCCTGAGTGCCCGTAACAGCCAAGGATGGGCCATGCTGAATTCAGGAGCCAGGAACTCCGTCCGAGTCTCCCACAGGGACTCCAGGAGCCCAAGTACTTGAAAATCTGCTGCTGCCTTCCCAGGCACATTATCAGGAAACTGGATCAGATGTGGATGCAGGACTCTAACCCAGGCACTTCAAGTGGCAGCTTAACCTGCTGCACCACCGTGCGCAAGCCATAAACCAGTTCTTTAGATTCTTTGTTGGAGAGAGCTGTTCTGTGCACAGCAGGCAACGTAGCGGTAATTCTTGCTTCTGTTCACTAGGTGCGAACAGCACCATCTAGTTGTAGCAACCAAAAAATTGCCCCAGACATTGCTAAATATCCTGAGATTGAGATGGAGGATAAAAAAAAGTAACCCCTGGTTGGTTGAGAATCACTGCCATGAACCCATACATCCAAGAAGCTCACTGAACCCCAAGTAGTAGAAACATACTGAAAAAGAAATAGCATCTAAGCGGGAAATGAAGAAGTAGAAACTGTCCCTCTTCATCGGTGATAAGATCCTTTTATAGGAAACAAGTAATCCAGAAAGAAACTACTGGAGCTAATAAATTAACTCAGCAGAGTTGTAAGACACAAGATCAATATGCAAAAATCACTGTATTTCTATACACTTGGAGCAGGCTCTCCAAAAAATGAAACAGAGTAAATAGTTCCACTTAAAATAGCATCCAAAAGAATAAACACCTGGGAATAATTTCAGCCAAGGAGGTGAAAGATTTTTACACTGAAAACTAAACTGCTGTAGGCGATTAGAGACCTGTATAAATGGAACTGCATTTGTGTTCATGGATTGGTAGGTTTAGGTTTAAGATAGTAATAAGGCTGAAATCAATTTACAGATTTCAGTGCATTCTGTACAGGGGAATTACCTGTTTTTTGTTTTGTTTTTAGCAAAAATAGCCTTTTACAGTCAATAAAGTGATCTAATTTTGCTTCTAAAATAAGGTTTGTGTTCAGAGTCAGGGTTTTAATATTTGCTGGAAGTCCTGGCCTAAAAGCTAAGTGTTGCCAAAGATGTGGGTTTTGCAGAGGTCATGAATCCTTCCAGACACTAATGCTCAAGTTCATGCCTCCATCGTGCATGCTTTAGAAAAATCTTACTGCTGAATTATCTTACTCTTGTGTGTTTTGAGAGCACAGGACAGGGCCTGTTAATCCCTTGATTTTAAAAAAAGTGTTTCCAAAGCAGTTGACTTCTTTTTTCTTTTATTTTAGATGTAAACCTCCTTTCTTTGCTCTCTCCTATTCCTTTCTCCTTTCCATGCAAAAGAACTTTTTTTCTTTTATGATTAAATTTGAAGTTACAGGGGCTGGTGCTGTGGCATAGTGGGTAAAGCCAATGTCTGCAGTGCCGGCTCTCCGTATAGGTGCTGGTTTGAGTCCCATCTGCTCCATTTCTGATCCAGCTCCCTGCTAATGCACCTGGGAAAGCAGTGGAAGATGGCCTAAGTCCTTGGGCCCCTGCACTCTTGTGTGAGAACGGGAAGAAGCTCCTGGATCCTGGCTTCGGATTGGCCTAGCTCTGGCCTTTGTGGCCATCTGGGGAGTGAACCAGCGACTGGAAAAGCGCTCTCTGTCTCTCCTTTTCTCTGTCTCTCTAACTCTGCCTTTCAAATAAAATAAATAAATTTAAAAAAATTGAAGTTATACTACAGTTTAGTTTGTATTTCACTTGGGAGCTTTTTTTTTTTTTAATTTAGTTATTTATTTGAAAGAGTTATACAGAGAGAGAAGCAGAAAGAGAGAGAGGTCTTCCATCCGCTGGTTCACTCCCCAGTTGGCCAAAACAGCCGGAGCTGCGCCAATCCGAAGCCAGGAACCAGGAGCTTCCTCTGGGTCTCCCTCGTGGGTGCAGGGGCCCAAGGACTTGGGTCATCTTCCACTGCTTTCCCTGTCCATAGCAGAGAGCTGGATTGGAAGAGGGGCAGCTGGGACTAGAACCGGCATCCATATAGGATGCTGGTGCTTCAGGCCAGGGCCTTAACCCGCTGTGCCACAGCGCCAGCCCCACACTTGGGAACTTTGACTATAAATCTAGATGTGATTTTCCTGGTCACATTCATGTCTGATAATTTATATATCATGGGTTTTTTTTATTTTTCACATGAGTATCCGTATTCTGCTTGTACAGCATCTCACAGTCAGCTAGGGGAATTGTTGAGGCTCAGGGAAGACTACGAGAGTGACATGGACTGTCAGTGAGTGCCCATTCCACCCCTGTGGAGACTTGACAGCCTGGTGCCTTTCTGTGACTGCCTGGGCTTTGTCACTAACGCTTGAAGAAGTGGTCGAAGGTGAACTCTTCCTATCTCTTAGGAAAGTAGCATTTTTAACTTGGTTTAAATATATAGTGCTTTAACTTAAGAGTCTCTTACTTTTTTTCCCCAAACAGATACCCGAAAAGAAAGGAAAAGAAGCAAATACTGGCTTTGGTGGACCAGTTGTTAGTTCTCTGTATCATGAAGAAACCATCAGGTAATTACCTTTGGATCTCTGATAAGAAGAATGTATGTGTAGTATGTGCATATGTGTGTTTGCTTGGTGAGTGTGTGTGTGTGTGTGTGTGTGTGTGAGTGTGTGAGTAGATATACTTTTAATCTTAAAATCTCGATTTGTGTAGCATTCTTTCTTAACATGAAACTGATTTGGTGGTAACTATAGTAGGGTAATAAATGATAGGTTCTAGTACCAGTCGGGGCGCCGGATTCTGTCCCGGTTGCTCCTCTTCCAGGCCAGCTCTCTGCTGTGGCCCGGGAAGGCAGTGGAGGATGGCCCAGGTCCTTGGGCCCTGCACCCGCATGGGAGACCAGGAGGAAGCACCTGGCTCCTGGCTTCAGATCGGTGCAGCACACCAGCCATGGTGGCCATTTGAGGGGTGAACCAACGGAAAAAGGAAGACCTTTCTCTCTCTCTCTCTCTCTCTCTCTCACTCACTGTCTCTCTCTCTAAACCAACTCTGCCTGTCAAAAAAATTTAAAAAAATGACAGGAAAGAATTTTTTGGGGTATATAAAGTCAGTGTGTCTGAAGTGATGCCAGGTAATATGTCTAAATAAGTGATACCACTTATTCTTGGATTTTTGATGATAAAGTATCTGAATCAGTGCCTTTATCCCCACCTAGGTAGTTGGCAGGGCAAGGTTTTATCTCTCAGACAATCTAAAGCTATGGATTTTTATTGTTAATTTTCCTCAAAATAGCATTATTTCTTTATTATTAATTTTGAAAGAGCAACAGAGAGGGAGATACAGAGAGGCAAAGACAAAGAGAGAGATATCATCCATGCACTGGTTCCCACCCCAAATGACTAGATCAGCCGATCTGGGCCAGGCTGTAATTAGGGGGCAAGAACTCCATCTGAGTCTCCCACGTGGGTGACAGGGCCCCAGATACTAGGGCCATCTTCTGCCTTCCCAGGCACATTAATAGAGAGCTGTATTACAAACAGAGCAGCCAGGACTTGAACTGGAACTCTGCTATGGGATGCTGGTATTGCAAGCCGTGGCTTAACCTGCTGTATCGTAGTGCCAGCCAATAATTATTTCTTTTAAGGGTTTTAATTTTCATAAGTTACTTACTCTGATTAAAAGTCATTTTAATTTACTTTAAATTAATAACTTTAAATTAATTGGAATATAAAATGGTATAGCTACTGTGGAAGACAGGGTGAAGGTTACTCAGAAAATTAAAAATGAAATTATCACATCATCCCGCAATTCCACTTCTGCATCTGTATCCAAAATATATCTCAAAGATATATTTGCACAGTATGTTTGTAGCAGCACGATTTATAATATTCAGGAGGTAGAAGCAACCAAGGTGGCCACTGATGGATGAATGGATAAACAAAATGCATTATGCATCCAGTGGAATATTATTTGGCCTTAAAGAAAGGACATGAAGACATTACGCTGAGTAAAATAAGCCAGTCACAAGACATCCAGTACTGTACATGGGATGGTCAAAGTCATAGAAACAGGAAGGAGAATTGTGGCTGCTGGAGCTGGAGGGAGAAGTGGGAGGTGTTTAGTAGGACAGCTTCAGTTTTGTGAGATGGGAAAGTTCTGGAGGTTCACTGCACAACAGTGTGAATGTGTTAACACCACTGAGCTGTATACGTAGGAATGGTTAAGATGGAAAATTTTATGTTTTTTAACAATTAAAATTTAAAAATTATGTCAGTATTTAACAAAGCTCTTAAGTTTTTGTTACGTACAGAATTTCTTGGCTAGCCTTTGTCTTTTAGCACTTCATGTAAATCAGATTCTATACTCTTTTAAGCAGTCATGTGACATATTCCTTAAAGGTTACAGACAAAAATGTGAATTTCTAAAGCTCTTGTTTTTCTTTTTTTTTACTTATCTGAATATTGGTTTACTTATTAATGATTGAAATGAGCTCTGATTTTCAAATAGAGAATGAATTCACCTCAATTTATTGAAAATAATTACTTACCTTCTTAGAATGAAGGGGAAATGATACCGAAAGCATATGCCTCCCTCTTTCAGAAAAGAGTTTGACGAGAGTTTATTGACATTACCTGTCATATAAGGAAGAAGTGATGTGAACTCCCAGGTAGCTTTATAGCAGGGAATCAAAAACTTGAAACGCTCAGTTCCCAGTTGTGAACTAAGCAGACCACCCGTCTTCAGTGTATTTGCATGGCATGAACATTTCTACTTAGAGTAAACGCTTGTTTGAGGTGGGATTGGGGAATGGTGAGAGAGTGGGAGGAATACAGATACTCTTTTACTATTTGACAAGTAGAGTTATAGACAGTGAGAGAGAGAGAGAAAGGTCTTCCTTCCACTGGTTCACTCCCCAAATGGCCTCTACGGCCGGTGCTGCGCCGATCAGGAGCCAGGAGCCAGGTGCTTCTTCCTGGTCTCCCATGTGGGTGCAGGGTCCTCTACTGCCTCCAGGGCCTCAGCAGAGAGCTGGACTGGAAGAGGAGCAACTGGGACTAGAACCGGCGCCCATATGGGATGCCGGCGCCACAGGCAGAGGATTAACCAAGTAAGGCACGGCGCCGGCCCTGGAATACGGATGCTCTTTAAGGCTGTTGCTACTGTTATGGATTCGCTTTGCCACCTGATCCCTGTGATGGATGCTGAGAATCTGAGGAGTACATACAAGCTTTAAGGAAGCATAGTTTAAAGAACATTTTCAGAGTTTAGCTCTTTCCTCAACCCATACATATTCAGAGAGATTTTGGGAGAGGGAGTGTTTCTAAATTTGCTATTCCGTCTTTAGAGTCTTCTAAAAAATAACATCTTAGAACCTTGATGCTGCTAATCAAAGTTTATTAAATGTTCAAATCAAATCAAGTCAGGAAACATTTAGAGTCATTTTTCTAGGTAATAGAGGAAGCTATCATTTCTTGTTTCCTCATAATCCATTGTTAATACCATCACATAAATGTGGCGTTTATCACATCGGATTATAATTTTTAAAAAACTTTCATCTTTTCCACTAAGCTTTTAATTTTTGAGGGAAAGGATGATATTTCATCTATATCTGTATTCTTTTTAAAGATTTATTTATTTATTTGAAAGAGTTAAACAGAGAGAGGAGACTCAGAGAGAGAGAGGTCTTCCATCTGCTGGTTCACTCCCCAGTTGGCTGCAACAGCCAGAGCTGCGCCAATCTGAAGCCAGGAGCCAGGAGCTTCTTCCGGGTCTCCCACATGGGTACAGGGGCCCAAGGACTTGAGCCATCTTCTGCTTTCTCAGGCCATAGCAGAGAGCTGGATGGGAAGTGGAGCAGCCAGGACTCAAACCGGTGCCGGTATGGGATGCCAGTGCTTCAGGCCAGGGCGTTAACCCGCTGCGCCACAGCACCGGCCCCATATCTCTGTAGTCTTACTGCCTGAGAAAGAAAGTTCCTGGTACCTAGTGGTTATTCAGTAAAAGTGCTCTGAACGTGGGATACATCCATGCCACATCTCTCAGGGAGCTGCTGGTTAGTGACTCTTGCTTACAGGGTTAACCTAGGGGTCCCGCCCTAAGAGAGATCTGATGGCGTGGTTTTCCTGTGATATGCCCATCCCAGCCTTTCCCAAAGCAATTAAAGAAAAACTTACAGGCTATTTTCCCTTCCTAGCTTGATAGATTTATAAAATCCTTTCTTGACCTAAGCTTAACTCTCTTAACAGTATCAATCACTTATCTATAAATAATACTGATCTTTATTTTGTGTGCCAGTTTCCTGGTTTTCTTCTAGTGTTTTTCAAAATGACACACTGAATATAGGTTTTTGGAATGTCCCATGACACAACCAATCACAGTACCTCTGCAGAACATGAAGCAAATCAAGTGTGCAAATCAAATGAGAGTAGAAATATGGATAAGAGGATCCTGAGTTAGAGTTAGACTATAATGGAAGGATTCATCTCCCTCCCAAACACTCTCAGTTCTTAAAACTGACTGTTAGATTTAATTTAATGTTTAAGCTAAATGTTTAGAATTTTGATAATGAGGAAATGGCAAAGAATAGTATAGCTTATTTTTATGGAGCAAATGTTTTTAATTCAACTCAGCACACTTATTATGAGTCCACAATGAGACAAAACAGTGTGGATATTTGTATTTCTCAGCTTCTTTGCCCTTGAATAGTACATTATTATTATTTTGGCATTTTCATGTAAATATGTTTAATAAATATTAATCAACTGAAATATGAGCCTTTGCTATGTGCACAACTAGTTAGATTTGGCCTTATTTCAAAGTCATCAAAGTATTAATTTTCTTATTATAGAGAATTCAGTCTTCATAGGAAAGTATTGTTAAGATATGAAACAGTAAGAAGCATGCTTGTGCGAAAGCCATCGAAGGCCTTTCAATTATTACTAGCATTAGTAATTTTGCTACTATAGCAGATCAGAAATCACAATAACTGGTTATATTATTATACTGGTAGAATTAATTTTATAGTGCAATAGGAATGCCATTATAACAAATTACATGATAGTAAAAAAAATTCCTATGGCTTCTTAAATAGTATCAGGATACAGTTGCAGTGGTGAAGACAAGCTATTTCCTGAATATGTAATCAGATTTTGCTTGTGCAGTGTACTTGAAAATACATGGAAAAATGAAATTAAAAAATAAGTTTATTTTGAAATAAATGCATAGTTTTTTCATAATTTGCATCCATGAAGGTTTTTTTTTGTTTTTTTGTTTGTTTGTTTTTTGACAGGCAGAGTGGACAGTGAGAGAGAGAGACAGAGAGAAAGGTCTTCCTTTGCCGTTGGTTCACCCTCTAATGGCCGCCGCGGCCGGAGCACCGCGCTGATCTGATGGCAGGAGCCAGGTACTTCTCCTGGTCTCCCATGGGGTGCAGGGCCCAAGCACTTGGGCCATCCTCCACTGCACTCCCGGGCCACAGCAGAGAGCTGGCCTGGAAGAGGAGCAACCGAGACAGCATCCGGTGCCCCGACCAGGACTAGAACCCGGTGTGCTGGCGCCGCTAGGTGGA